AGCAGAGACAAGAAGTTCTCATAATCAGAAAATCAGCCTCTGAGTTCTTTTTGTGACCTCAAAATTATTCCCTTTTTGGCAAACAATGTTCTAGGCTGGTCTGGGTTCTCTACTTAGAGAAGAGATGGCACAGGTGGAGAGTTAATTACTGGCCCCCAGCACCTCAGTAGGAGGGGCAACTGTTCTGAATGCAAAGAGGACAGATCCCCAGGGGCTGCAGGGGCTGACAATTTCATGTCTCCCCAGGTAGAGCTCTAGGGCCATCACCGTCCCTGCCCTCCCTGCTGCTTGGCCAGCCCCGGTGGCCAGTCCAGCCTGAAATGTGATTGAGAAGCAAAACACACAGAAATGTGTGCACAGGTGGGCAGTGCCCCATGTACAGACATTAAATTAAATGTCTGCTCACCCACTGCCCACCCCCAGAAGAAAAAAAGGAAGATAATTTCAAAGAAGAAAACATTGCAGATAAATCCCCAAATAAAGAATTAGTTGTTACTTTATCCTGTCCAGAGCCCAAGCCTTGCCCACGACCCAAACCAGATGGCAAACATGAACATTTTTAGAAATTAATTTAAAACCAATTTGATCCCCAAATTCATTGCCTAGATATAGAATCCTAATCAATCAGCCAACACTCAACCAAAATCATCTGAGCCTGGTGTCACCTCTGGGGGTTAATTAGAAACTGTTATGTGCTGTTTGAGAAATAACTTTATGTAACAGGCTTAAACCAGTAAGAGTTTGGCTTCCACACAAGTGTGAATTCTGCTGGCTGGGGGCCTTGTTTATTAACACATACGACTCCAGACCTCTGCAAAAAGACACCCAGAAGATTTTCGATAGAGACAGAAACTTTATTTCACCACCTTCAAAAACACCGGAGAACGAAATGCCTTTTCCCTCCCCTCTCTCCCCTTAAAAGGTTGCTTGCTGGTTCTCAACTTGTTTCTGCTACACAGAAAACCACCTGCCCCAAATTACCAGCTCCATCCCCAAATGTCCTCTGTGTAGAGGCTGTGTGTGTGTGTGTGTGTGTGTATCTCTCTCTCTGTGCGTGCGTGCGTGCGTGTGTGTGTGTGTGTGTGTGTGTGTGTGTTTGGTGGGCAAGGGCAGCTCTGGGATTATTTTGATGTAATGCATTATGTCCTGTCAATACACATTAGTGTGACAACAGTCAGAATGTGGTTAAAATGCCTAAATTAGAGTAGACTCTTATCAGCAGGCATCACAATTACCGACACTCTAGCTAACTACTGAACTTGCTTCTTTCCATCACAAACATTTTTTGCAGCCATTTACTAGCATTTTAAAGTGCCTTTGAGTGCTCTGGGTCAAAATCTCCCACACCCAAAATAATATGGTCTCCTATATTATGGAAATCAAGGAAAGTTTAAGTTAATAATAATAATAAATAAAAAGAGCTTATAAAATGTGGCAATCCAAAAAAAAAAAAAGCTGTTCTCCATCATCCAATAGTTTCTTTCTGAACTAGAACTCTCAAATGTCACTCATTTGTTATGAAACTCACTCACCCAGCAGCGATCTATGGAAATTTTTTTTTTTTTGGTTTTGTTTTTTTTTAAGAAAAAATATATTGGAGTTGATTTCCCAGATGGGCCCTCAAAATGCCCTCTTTTCCTTGTGTGTCCTCTTGGACCCCTGACCCTAAGTTTCCTTCTGAAATGGCAAAAGTAGAGGGTGTTTGTTAGTCCGATGTCAGCTTTGACAAGTGTCTGCTCCAACGCCATTTACCTTTCAGCTTGATGCTTTGGACAAAATGCTGGGCAGCAACTCCCGTTAAAAAACAAAAAACCAAACACCACGAAGACGTCTGTATCTGGTTCCTTTTGGCCTCTACTGAGCTTTTTCACTCCAAAATGCAGGCTGACTACTCCCACACAGTTTGGGTCAGCATCTGTCTCCTGTTGACATGTTTTACTGTAAACCCAGCTCATGAGAATTTGTAAGGCAGTGGCAACTGTAAATAAGGCCGAACACAGAGGAAAACCAATTCATAGCCTAAGGCAATCTGGCTGGTTTTCCCTATTATAAATAACACTGCAGTGAACATCTTTGAGCCAGAGCTCTTTACAACTTTTCCACTATCTCCTTCACACAGACTCTGCAAGATGGGGCTCCAAAGGCATTAATATTTGGATGGCTTTTGATCCTTGTTGCTACTTTCACTTTCCAAGGAGTGGAGCAAACGATGTTCACCATCCAACATGAATTGCCGAAAGATAAACAGCCTTCAGGGGGGGGGGGGGGGGGGGGGGGGGGGGGGGGGGGGGGGGGGGGGGGGGGGGGGGGGGGGGGGGGGGGGGGGGGGGGGGGGGGGGGGGGGGGGGGGGGGGGGGGGGGGGGGGGGGGGGGGGGGGGGGGGGGGGGGGGGGGGGGGGGGGGGGGGGGGGGGGGGGGGGGGGGGGGGGGGGGGGGGGGGGGGGGGGGGGGGGGGGGGGGGGGGGGGGGGGGGGGGGGGGGGGGGGGGGGGGGGGGGGGGGGGGGGGGGGGGGGGGGGGGGGGGGGGGGGGGGGGGGGGGGGGGGGGGGGGGGGGGGGGGGGGGGGGGGGGGGGGGGGGGGGGGGGGGGGGGGGGGGGGGGGGGGGGGGGGGGGGGGGGGGGGGGGGGGGGGGGGGGGGGGGGGGGGGGGGGGGGGGGGGGGGGGGGGGGGGGGGGGGGGGGGGGGGGGGGGGGGGGGGGGGGGGGGGGGGGGGGGGGGGGGGGGGGGGGGGGGGGGGGGGGGGGGGGGGGGGGGGGGGGGGGGGGGGGGGGGGGGGGGGGGGGGGGGGGGGGGGGGGGGGGGGGGGGGGGGGGGGGGGGGGGGGGGGGGGGGGGGGGGGGGGGGGGGGGGGGGGGGGGGGGGGGGGGGGGGGGGGGGGGGGGGGGGGGGGGGGGGGGGGGGGGGGGGGGGGGGGGGGGGGGGGGGGGGGGGGGGGGGGGGGGGGGGGTCTGACAGGCAAGGCTTAAGCCAGGCTGCGTTTCAGCTCATCTCTGCCACTTCCAGGCTGGACAACCTGGGCCCACCAGCTGGCCCCTGGGTTCAGCTTCCTAGGCCTTAACGTGTAGTGGTTGCATGGGAACACTTAGCATAGTTCCTGGCACTTAGAAAGCACCTAAAAAAGTGAAGGAAAGGAACCATGAGCAAGGAAAAAGAAAAACATTAAAGGGAGCTTGTGCTGTGCTAGACCCTGGCAGGATCCAATAGCCACAGGGGAACAGCCCCCGCTTTCTAGAGACGAGTAAATATTAGGGAATGCTATGTCGATTCAGAAAATAAAAGAGGGTGATGTGATCGTCCCTGGGGGCTACTTTACATGGGGCTACCAGGAAAGGTCTCTCAGGGCCTGTCTTTGAGCTGAGACCTTTTGGTTGGGAGTTCCAGGTGGCAGGGACAGCACGTGCAAAGGCCCAGGGGTGGGCTGGGGCAGGGGCTGAGGGAGACAGACGGGTGATGACTGCCTACAGAGCTGGGGTTCCACTCCAGGCCGCACCCCAGTCTCTCCACCAGTGCCAACCACCCTTTCCCCTTTGTGTCTCGCCAGCACCACTCCCGACCCTGCCCGGCCTGCGTCCTCATCGCGCGCTCCAACGAGCACCGGCCGCCTGTGCTGCGCCCCCGGCCGAGCCTGCCACTGCGCCTGGGCGGCTGCTGGGCCAGCACACACTGCGAGGTGCGCCCGGCCGTGCTCTTCCTCACCCGGCTCTTCACCTTCCACGGGCACAGCCGCTCCTGGGAGGGCATTTACCGGCACTTCTCGGACCCCGCCTGCCGGCAGCCCACCTTCACCGTGCACGCAGCTGGCCACTACAGCAGGGGCACGCCCTCCGCCAGGGTGCGCGGCGGCACTGAGCTGGTGTTCCAGGTCACGGAGGCCCACGTGACCCCCATGGACCAGGCCACCACGGCCATGCTCAACTTCTCTGAGCCGAGCAGCTGCGGGGGCCCAGGGGCCTGGTCCGTGGGCACCGAGCGGGATGTCACAGCCACCAACGGGTGCCTGCCACTGGGCATCAGGCTCCCGCACGTGGAGTACGAGCTTTTCAAGATGGAGCAGGACCCTCAAGGGCAAAGTCTACTCTTCATCGGACAAAGGCCCACCGACGGGTCAAGTCCCGACACCCCGGAGAAGCGTCCCACCTCCTACCAAGCGCCCCTGGTGTTCTGTGGCGGGGAGGCCGGCAACCTCTCCAGGCCCCTGCAACGCAGGCCTCCGCTGCAGAAACCCCCCAGCGGTGGAGGCCCCTGTCTCCCTGTAGCCCCTCTCCCCCTTCTGCTCCTAGTTCTAGGGCTGGCCTTCCTCTGGTGGCTATGACATTGGTCTTCCACTTCAAGACTGTGCCGCTGGACACCCGTCTGAGCCTGCGGATTCCTCCTGGCACTGAGCCCCTCGAGCTGTCCGTGGGGCAGGACCAATCTTCTCTACCCTGTCGTGGATGGACACACAGTACCACTGCTTCTAAACTCAGCCTGTGTCCCAAGCAGATCAGCACCTGAGCCTAGCAGCGCCTGCAGAGTCTATGCTATGCGCCTGGATGTGGCAGCGATGTTGATTGCTACATGAATTCCTAAACGCTCACTCCCGATTTCTGTTCTTTCCTTCTCACAGGCACGGGTCGGGGACCACCCTGAGACTCCCTGTCTGACAGCCCCTGCCCTCCTCTTCCTGTGCCCTGGAGATTTTGTGCAATGAGAGCGAGACGACACCTGAGATCCTGCCTAGGGACGATGCCTGCTGCTCTGCCGAGTCTGCGGGTTGTTGCTTAAAGATTATTAATTTGAATTTAGCAATACAAACTCAAAACGGGGCAATGAATTAAAGATGCTGCTGCAGGCTTTCAGTACTTCTCAGCTTTCTGGCAGAGGGCTTGTCTCTTCGGGGGCAACTCGGCTTTCTTGAGTTCTGAGTGCTGGCATTCGTTTGCATCTGTCTGTGCTTCTGCAAGTCAGACCTCAAGCTGTCGACACTGCGTGCAAATAAATCCAGCCCTCCCGGGCCAGCACACGAAGGAACAGGGCTCCATCTGAGTGGAGAAGTGTGGCCTCCCCTGAGCAGGCTCCTCCCAGCCTCCCTCGCCCATGCCAAGCGAAAGCCAGCGTGCACCACTGCCAGGGGCAGGTCTTTGGAGGAAAGCAGCGTTCCCAGCCTTTGGAAAGTAATTAATACTAATGATAGCGGTAACACTAACATGCTCTGTAATTAGCCCTGCACAGCCGTCCTCTGTTTTCAAGCTTCCCTGTGCTTCACTGATGGAGATGGATCTAACCCCAAGCATGTGTCTTTGGGACCTCCCTAGGAGAGGTCAGGGTCATCAGGCTAGATAGCAACATCTGGACACAGGAGACAGGAAGCTTCGCCTCGCCCAGCCTTCATGCCAGAATGCTAATGTACCGGCGTCCCGTACTCGGAGGAGGCTGTCATCATGGTGGGGACAGACTGTGCCCCTCCAAGGACCCTGCCTGTGTTCCCAGGCCCTCATCTGTACACTGCAAAATTAACTGGCATCCTGGTGGGCTCTAGAGTTCTCGGGACAGTGTGCCGATGATTTGCAGCTTCCTTCCTCCTCCCGATCCCTATCTCTGGCTCTTATCACAGATTTTGAACCATTGTCTGTGAAGCTAATGATGCTTTCAGAGGGAAGCCCTTGTCCTCCCTGAAATTGCATAGGAGATCTGGGCCTCCGTCTCTCGGCCCACAGGCTCCCAGAGGGAGTGGGGTTCCTTGACTGTTTTGGGGGAAAGCAATTTGGTGCTGCTTCACGGGACTGGGCATGAGCCATCTCTAATGAGAAGGTGTGGGGGGAACAAAAGAGAAGTCCTGGCTCCCCTTGACTAGATTTAGCCACGCTCTCCTTGCTGGGGCGTCTTAGTTCTGTGGCTGTTGATGCTGACAGGAAATATGGAGGCTGAGGAAAGGGAACGGTTCCCTTTCTCCTGGGCAGGAGGTCAGCGCTTCCCAGGCTCTGTGCTGACGTAAGGAGGGGCCATTTCAGAGACTGAGGGCTGAGGAGACTCTCCGGGGACAGGGTCAGGGGCCAGCAGGCACGACCTGTAGTCTCTCCCTTCCCCATAAAACCTGAGAGAGCTTTTGTCCACAGAGCAGAAAGGAAACCCTGAGCCCTAGCTCAAAACAAAACAAACAAAATTAATGCTCTCCATTGTATGTTCAGTCACGTTTAGAAGGGGGAAGAAAGCTTGTGCAGTTGATAATTTCATAGCGTGACTCCCAGGAGAGTAAATGAGCTTTTTTTTTTTTTAATAAAAAGTTTAAATTGTATACAGCTCTCAAAGGCCCATTAACTAACAGATGCTGGTTATCAAAAGAAGTTATTTCTTTGCCTTTCTCTAAGCGCATGTGTTTAATCTCCCAGCGGTGCTGCTGGGCCGAGGAGCCGCGTGTGGCTCGGTGACACGGCTGCCAGCACACCGCCCTGGCTGTGCGTCCTCTCCTGGGGGCCCGGGTGACTCAGGCACCAGGAGCTGGGGCCTTCTGACGCAGAACGTGGAACTGCATTAGGGCCCTGGCAGGGGAAGATTGACTGCCATTATTGGTGTCACAGATGGGGAGCTGGGGGGGAGGGGCTGTTCCCACTTAAGGGGGGTGAACCTGGACAGAAGTGTGAGACCTGCAGTCTGCTCTTGATGGCCTTAAGTAACTAAAAACCAGTTCCTTCTCACACATATAACCCCTCTTAAAGGGATGTGAGGATGGGAGTCAATCACCTGTCAACATGCCCAAGAACTAACCATCTAAGCTTCCAGGCGGACCCTCCTCTTCCCTCCTTGACACCTAATCACTTTGAACTCGGTCTCTCTCAGGGTCTTTGCATTAGCTCCCCTCTCCCTGGAATGCTCTGCCCCCCTCATCACTCCCAACTACCCCCCAAAAAGGGGTCCCCACCGCTTCAGCCGTGTCCCACCTCGGCACACTTTTTATCTTCGCCACAGCGTTTATCAGAATCTGCATTCTGAAAATATCCTATTTGTTAGTGTCCTTATTTGTTGTCAGCCTCTCTCCTCTAGACTGAGTTCCAGGACATTCTATACAATGAGGGGTCTAATGGGGAACAACACTTGTCTGTCTCGTTCCCTCCTAGATCGCCCAGCGTGTAGAATGGCACCTGGCACATAGTAGGAGCTCCATAAATGCCAGTTAAATGAATACATGCTCTGAGTCCTGGTGGAGGCTCTGAATTCAAGTATCAAGATGAAAACCATACACTCTAAATTGGAATTTTTATGTTGATGACTGTTTTCCTAATAAGATGGGCAAAGCAGACAGGCCTGTGACCTTGAGGACAACTGTTTTCTACTAGCCAGGCTATCTCTAGGAGGGCCTTGAGGACAAGTGCTGTCCCTGAATAGGGAGCCACAGGGTCTGGCACGGGTCCCTTCAGAGTTCATCTCGAGCTTCTAATCTAACAAAGGCCAGGGAGACTGGGAGACCTGCATCCTCACGCAGGTACCCAGGGCTCTCCATGTCAGCTCTGGAGCCCCACCCCACCCCATTCTCACCAGCTTCAGTTTCCATACCAGTAAAATGACCTAAACCTGGTAAGTGATTCAAAGGGAATCAACGATGTATTTTAAGAGGATTGGCTTTAAATAAACTCTCAGTGAGGATGAGTCTTTTTCCCTGATGATGTGGTGTTTATTTCCTAGGGGTTATTAATAACCTGCTACCCTTACTCTTACATTTGGTATTTTCTTAATCCCCCAGGAGGAAAAACAAATCTACCCAAACTTAGGTGATCACTGCTTCTGTGAAAATCAACTGAAGACCTACATGCATTTACTGAGCACCGCTCCCGTGCCAGGTACTATACTGGGTGCCTTGGAAGGAAGGCCATCCAGACTTCCAACAAAGATGGGCAGGTGAAAGCACGCTTTTACCTTCACTTCCTTCTGAAGGCCCAATAAATTATGGGAAAAGAATAAGAAGGCACAAAATCACATGGATAAACAGAAAAGGAGATGAAAATACAGCCACAAGAGATGTCAGCAAAATTCTGGAATCTGGGCAAGTTATCATAGACAGCAGATTACAAAAAGCCGGAAGCAAAGTGATGGCAGGCTGGTCTCAGGGTTGAGCTCCAAAGCAAGTCTACCAGTGCCAATGACCCCCAAAGGTAGGAAGTGGTGGCCCTAGCACCTCAGAAGGCAGGAGAGCAGTGGGGCTGAGAACGGGAGGATCTTTGAAAAATTTTACAAATCTGTAAAAGGAGTTCTACCCACCTGATCCTCTCCCTAACCCCTGTAAAAAAACAAAAGTTTAACATGGGTATCTTTGGACTCCGGGATGGCCCAGGGCGAAGTATCATGCTAAAAATATAGGTGGTAAGTAAAAGTCTACATACACATTGAGATTGCCAGTCTCTTTCTCCACTTGACTTCTAGAGAAATGGTGGCCAGGCTTATGCTGCCAGGCAGGAAATTGGCAGAGTCCTCTCCAGAGAAACAAGCCCAACTAGCAAAGATACTAACAGCTGGAAACAGGCATCTGTTAGGTCCCTACCCAATCAGGTTACATAGAAACTCATCATGCAACCACCACTACCTCATATACATATGCAGCTTCCCGTCAGGTTTCCAGAGCTCACTCATATATACATAAAGGCTGTCAAGGAACTCCAGACAGGTAAGGAAAGCCTCTAACATGACAGAGACCAAACCTCATCCAAAGTGACTAGCAGATAGAAGATAATACAGAGGAAACAACAACAACAGAGAACTATAATATCCTCAGTGAAAACAATCTTAACCCTTTAAATACCACCACCACTTTCCAGTTCCTCTCACGGAATGACAAAAAAGAACTTACACAATAACAATGACACGATAACAAAAAAGATCTGTGATATCCTCGGTGAAAAAATACGCCTAACAAGAACAGTTTGCTATAAACAAATAATAATAACTGAAAAAGAAAGAACTCTTGAAAATTACAAATACGCTAGCAGAAAAAAATCAAGAAGGTTGGAAATAAAAGTTGAAAGACTTTTCTAGAAATAAAAAAGAAAACAATCAGGATTTAGAATGGCATTAAATTTCTTAAAGGCAATAGTAAAAGCTGGAAATCAGTAGAACAAATGCTATCAAAATCCACAGAATAATTTTCAACTTTATCTCTTATACTCAATACAACTATCAATAAAGTGTGAGGGCAGAATGGTACATTTTCAGATATATAAAGTTCTCAGAAAAAATCATGTCCCATATATTCCTTTCTCAGAGACCTGCTAAAGGATGTGCTCCACCCAAATGAGGTAGTAAGAGAAGAAAGAGGAAGCTAGAGATGCAGAACAGAGACAGAGG